TCTGTGGCTCCCCTGAGGTAAATGTAGTTCACAGTCCTGCCCCCACCCCAACCTCAGCCATAATCCCTGCTTCCTGGAGGTAAGAAAGCACTGGAGTGAGGAAAATTCTGCAGCAGGATATAATGATCCAAAATGACAGGGACAATAATGACAATGAATTTCATGTCTCCCAGTCATGAGGCGGGGATGCTTGACTGGGCTGACTCCCACAATTAAATTGTTACAGGTACAGCAGGGGATGCAGTTCTGATCCATCCGCGCGCTTTTGGGAAGSGCGCCCGCGGCAGCGCTTTTGTGGGGAGCAAAGGGCTCCTCCTGCAGCCACGGGGCTGAGCCCGCACCTCTGACTGAGTAAAACTGGGTTAAAGATGCAGCTGGGGCAGGCTGTTGATTTGATCCTTTGTGAAAATGATAAAGCAGCTGTGATGGATGGGACTGGAGCGGGGTTGAGAGCACACGGAGACCCCCGGAATGTGCGGGGTATGGGCAGTGCTGGGCACACAGATCCCACTGCTGTTTGTGCTCTGGGCTCTCACTGCACCCAAACCCAGCCAGCATTTCCCTTCCCAGTGCTTTCATCCTGCAGGATCTCTGTTACACACAGCACATTGCTCCAAATCCCCTTGTTTGCCATTCTCACAGCATTACACCCATGGTCACTGTGCCCACAAAGCCTCTCTCACCCAYCCAGCCTCAGGCAAGAAATAGGAGTAGCTGTGTATTTAAAATCACCTATGGAAAGTCTTTTTTTTCAGTGACAAACTGTCAGAGTTTTTACATCCAGGGAAGGAAAGCAGCCACAGAGTTGTCTGTAATACCCCCATTACAGCTCAACGTCTCCAAATATCCATTTGTCAAACATGAATTATAAAGCYATAACATTTCATAATTCAGGACACACTCAAATCCTAGGAAAAATAGCTACAAGAGCCTAAATAAAAAAAAGCATTTATTCCATTTTTGACAGCTTAATGAATGCCCTACTCTTTTGCATTGATTTTTGTGTGTGTGTCTGTGTGTGCACGTGTGCCTGGGAAGGATTTCTCAGGGGGTTTGCTGTAAACAGGGGAAGCGAAATCCTCTGCCAAGGCTTTTTCTACTTTTAAATAACCTCCTTATTAAAATATTCCAGCAGAGAATGTATACAAAAATACTGAGAATGCAAAGAGCAAAAACCAACTACTTACATCCCAGTAAACAYAGTGGAGATTTGTAGAACAAGACATTAAACAATCCAATACCTYGATGCAGCAGGAGAGTCCCAGACACAGCCTATGTTAATTCTTTCTTTCAGGAAAAAAAACCAGCAAATTCAGAAAACACTGTCAGCAGAGCCCTAAAATCTTAAATACAGTATTAATTCCAGAGCACAAATTTTCCTTACACAGCTAAGGGCTTATCTTGCAAGGCAAAATGCATTTWAAAAAAWWA